TCAGCTTAGAAATAACTGCAAGAAACTTTTTTAGCGATAAATAATATATAATTATATTGAATATTCTTCTCTAAAATAATTCAACATCAAAGAATTATCATAATTATTTTACGAATCATTTAAAATCAAACAAGTTTTAATAATTAAAGGAGAAAAAAATTTGTCGAATTAAAAAGCTAGGTTATGTTAACTCTATCATTATATTCCCATATAAATTAAAGTATCTTATAAAATAAAATTACTTATAGAATAATCTATATAATATTTCTAATTATATATGAAATTATTTAAACAAAAGAAATTATCAAAATTACGTACGTACTTTCGTTTCATTTCCGACAGGTTCGATCCAGAAATTTCTTGAAACGAAGCAAGAATGTCCGAGTGAAATCGTTTTAAACAACGGTATGTCGAATGGAGAGGAGAGAGAGAGAGAGAAAGAGAGAGAAAGAAAAAAAAACAAGAGAAAAACACGGGGAAAAATATAATCGAGAGTGTGCTCGAAACGTTTTTACGCCCTGGTTACACTGGTCGGCAGTGAGTAAACGTTTTCAGCGACAACGCGGCCATTTGTGTTAAAACTGTTTGCCGATGTTGAAATAATTTTTTAAGCGTGCCCGGCAAACAGTGAATAAATTTGCATCGAGCTGTGTTACGATATCGGACACGTTTTTTTATCTGGCGTAATGATCGCGCGTGTTTGATGGCCGAACGGTGTATCGTGTCAGTGTAATCAGAACGATTAAATTAAATCAATAATATATATCCCGTAATTTCGTTAAATAACTCTGCTGTAGCGCCTGTAAATTCCTCGAGATACCAGAAAAATTTGATCGATGGAACATTTCTATGATCGATATTGAAAATTGCGACTTCATCATTTTCCATTCTTAAAGGAATCTTGTGTACATTGATCTTGAAATAATATATGTCATAGGATCAATAATCGTATTTATTATTTGGCAATATTATTCTTAATTATATATTTTAATATCATTTCAATGATATTGAGAAGAATATTATTATTTATTCTCAATAATATTTGTTAGATTAGACGCTAATTTTTAGTAATGATTAGCACGTTTATCTAAACTAAATTGTAGATTTTTATGCAAATACATATAACACCAATGTGAATGGCAATTAAGTTTAAATGCTTTATCTATATAGAAGAGATAGGAAATGGTCAAATATATTCCATTATATCTTACGATATGAAACGATCTGTTTCAATTCAATTTTTTTGCAAACGAGCAATTTATCAGAAATCCGTGAAAAAAGTATTTATACATAACATTGTAATATCAAACTTTGATAAATAAATAATATAATAATAAAATTATTATTATAAATTCTACACGCAATTCATACGTTTTAATTGAATTTGCTTTGCTCGCATAAAGATTCGCAATTTCATTAATCAATGTTGATAATATTACCTCTATCAGTTTACCTCTATCCTTTTTAACGATCGATAAAAAATGAAATTAACACTGTGTATTAAATGTATAATATTTCTGTTCACAAATTCAACTAAACAGGTATCTCGTGTTATATGAATATGTAACAACCGAATATCTATACTTATGTATATTTATATACTTTTATTTTTATTTTTATTTATTCGCATATTTACGCGGAATAAATTAAGAAACATTATACAATACCATTCTTTCGAATATATATATGTAAAATAATAGATAACTTATTCAAAAACTAATAATAAAAATACATCCAATTATGATATACCAATGTACCTATATAAATAATAAGTATTTATATTAATAGATTCAAATTTTATCAAATTTCGTTTCTAATAGTAACAAAATATTATTAATTATAACAAATTAGATATATTTCCAATTTCAATACGATATAATTATCTATTTTATCCTTGGAAAAATAAATATTCAATAACCTAATTTTCCATTCTTCGAGGTATCGAAAAGTCGAAGGTTAATTTTCGCCTTCGATCGTTTCCTTATCGAATAGATCGATCGTTTTGTCCTGTTCTGGTCGAATTCATAAACGGTCGAAAACAATAAAATGGTTTTTGCATCGGTCGGGTCATTCGGTTATTCGCGTGTAAGCTGATAACAGCCTACATAAACGAGTCATCGAACACTGGGCTCATTCACACGACTGTCCTCCGCCTGTTGACCACCCACGACATCGATCATTCAACCGTTCTCGAGCTCGAACCGAGCTGAATGGAGATTTCCAAACTCATTGAACAAATATAGAACAAATGGGATCCGTGTACCATGCCATTTATCGATTCAAAACGATCGAACAATGCGAACATTCGATCGATTGAAAATTATCTTTTTCTTTTTTCTTTTTTTTTTTTTTTAACTTGAGAGATAAATTGAATGTTATTATTATTGACTTTAGTTTCTTAAATATTCTTAGATACATTTCATTCAAGTCAAATTAGATTAAGTTAGCACTTCTATGTAACCTAACCTAAAATAAGTAAAAATTTATAGGTTATAGTTTGAATCAGATTAAGTTAAATTAAGTTAGATCTCGCATTGAGAGTGAAAATTATTACATCAGTTCCTTCAAGATAAATAAGATCATGGAAACCAATTCTTGAGAAGGTCGTGTAGCGATCAAGGATTAATATTTTTTTTTCTTTTTTGAATGCTCGAGAAAAGCACAGTCCTCGTGAGGTGCTCGTAAACATTGACGCGACACAACGCGTATCCTGTTCATTTCTCTCTTTTTCTTTCTTTTTTTTTTTTTTTTGAACTTGAGAGAAATTGAATATTATTACTATTGACTTTAGTTTCTTAAATATTCTTAGATACATTTCATTCAAGTCAAATTAGATTAAGTTAGCACTTCTATGTAACCTAACCTAAAATAAGTAAAAATTTATAGGTAGTTTGAATCAGATTAAGTTAAATTAAGTTAGGTTAGAATTGAGAGTGAAAATTATTACATCAGTTCCTTCAAGATAAATAAGATCATCGAAACCAATTCTTGAGAAGGTCGTGTAACGATCAAGGATTAATATTTTTTTTTCTTTTTTGAATGCTCGAGAAAAGCACAGTCCTAGTGAGGTGCTCGTAAACATTGACGCGACACAACGCGTACCCTGTTCATTTCTCTCTTTTTCTTTCTTTCTTTCTTTTCTCGAAGCCGTGTTACACGTCTGGTCGAACGAGAAGGAAGGAAGAGAGCGTAGCACGGTGGTCGTCGAGTGGGCGATTTCGTCTGGACCCGGTGGTTTGCAGCGTATGTCGCCTGTAGCCGGGTCAGGATGCAATGAACGGGCCTCCAGGTAACCGTACAGGTACGTACCGAATCGACAACGACGACAAGGGTGCCCCGGTGGTGAATGGCTCAGACGAGGACCTCGTTAACTATGGCCTTGGCGCCGTTCGAGATGCCCGCTTTGATATCGCGGCTCTGAAAACTGAACAACCGGGCTCGTGGCGCGCTCTCTCACCTTCGTCCTTCTCCTTTTTTCCTCTCCCTCTCCCTTTTACTCAGGGAGAAATCGATCGATCGATCACGGGATCTTTCTTTCTCCGGTGGAGTCGAAGGTGTATACTCTGAATTATCGTTGAGAAGTATATATATGTTTCAAAAGTAGCGTTTAAAATTAAAATCTGAAAAGAAAAGAAACTCTTTAAGTTTTTTCAAATTACCATATATCATAGAGAAGCTATTTTAATTTGCTGAAATTTCGAATAACTTGTCAATAATATAATTTATAATTGTCAGATAATGTTATAAATACTATTCATATACTTACATTAGTTGCATATAACTATAATCATATACTTCCATATCCACTTATATTAATCACATATAACAATATATGATTTATTGTAACGTAATCTGAAAAAAAACAAGCAATTAAAAACAATTGAATGATCCAAAATAACATTGACTCATTAATTGTAATACTCATACAAATTTATGTAATATGTTTTTAATATTGTATTCCTAATCTATAATATATAAGCATCTTAAGTAAAGATATACAAAGAAGGCTTTAAAATAACATAAAAATATCTTTTATTTTTTTCAATATAATAATTTAAAAATTTTTATCAGCCATTATATGATATCTAACTTTCTCCCTCTTATTCACAAATATAAGAAGATCAAAAAGATAGTAAGAAAAGAGGAAGAGAGAGAGAGAGAGAGAGAGAGAGAGAGAGAGAGAGAGAGAGAGAAAGAAAGAGAGAATCACCAAAGCCACCATTCACACGAAGGCCCCCAGAGTACCTGGAAACGGTGCTAATGATATGCTTGGGTCCCTGGTGAATGGAACCTTTCGGGAATTCTCCGACGGTTTCGTAGAATTAGGAATTCCGAGGACGGGTTCCTCTCCCTTTCTTTCTGACCTCCATGTCTCCAGAACAGGGCTGACTCCATAAAGAGGCGGTTAGCAGAGGTGGATGGACCACTTTGTGGGAAACGGTTCTTTCCTTTCTCCATCTAAATCGAGCCTTCTTTTTCTCTCTCTATGTCTCATTTTTCTTCTCATTTCTTTATTCGTGTCTTTAACTATTCTCTTTCTCAATCTTCTTTTCACTCTTTTACTTGTATTTACATCTTCTATTCTTCTCGTTCTTTCATTGCATTCATATTTTCTGTCATTTTCACTCTTCATTCGCACATATGTTTCGTATTTTTCTATTCGCATTTTTCTATTCTCTTCTTCTTTTCTCATTCTTCTATTCATATCTACACCTTTCTTTTTCTCATCTATTTATATTTACATTTCTTTTCCTTTTCCTTCTCGTTATTTATACTTATATTTTCTCTCCTTCATTTTTACTTACACGTATATCTTCTCCATTCATTCCTCCCTCTCATATTTTTTCTCTCTCACCCCTCTATTCACATCTATTCACATTTCTCTCTTGCTCTTATATTTGTATCTACTTATCTCCTCTCTTTCTCGTTTCTCTTATTCGTACTTACCGTCCGCCTCTCACTCCTCCTGAACGTCACCGCTCGAGGCTGAGATTTATAAGCGCGAACGAGCGTTTCAGGGACGAGCTCGTTCTCGAATGGGAACAATTTAGAAGAATAAGGACGCGCCAGCACGGAAAAGGGAGGAGAACCGTCAAATCTTCTGCAAAAATTGCTCCACGCGATTGTGCTCGCCACTCTGAATCACCGGAGAGATCGCAACGAGTCGAGTTTATTCGTCTCGATCGAAGGACGATTCCTTTGTAACGACACGCATACATTCGCCATTGCGGTTACCTTTATCCCTGTTATTTCGTCCAATAAGCGTATTTTCCATTTTCCTTCGATTCACAATGATCACTTGATCTCGCTATTTTATTATTTTCCGAGAAGAGAGAGAAAGGTTATGTCGCGAGCAAAAGAAGGTTATTTCATTCACTTCTGAAGGCAATATATATCTTGATCAAAGTAGATTTCGATGGGTTAGGAGAAGAAGTAGAAAACAGGTTTAACGGATACTTCTTGATACCGCGGGAGCGTCAATTGTTTTATAGGCTGTTCTCTCTTTCCTCTTTGATCGTGTCTCTTCGCCAGACCCACCGACACTCTCGATTTCGTCGCTTTTTACATGGTTGTTAAGTTGGCCACTGCCGCCAAGGTGGCGCCACCTTGTACCATGCTTGCCTCTACACTGCAAGTAAAACAAAAACTGTCCTCGTCCTATTGGATTATTTTACGTACGTTCAACTACCTTTGAGGCGGTCCGAAAGAAATTCTCGTTCCCATTCTTCAGAGATTTAAGAGTCCCGATCTTGATTTGTACTCGAGTCAAAACCAACTCGTAGAAACTTCGTTCTTTTTATATGAATCCTGACCTGAAGAAACTTAAATTGTCTAAAAGAAATATAATTATTTCGAGCTATTCGTTTTAAATATTGCATTCCTAAATATCCTTAATTAATAAAAAAGATTAAAGTAATTTGAAATAACATTAACACTATGATATAGTATTCATCCAAATAAAGTAAAAATAAACAAAGAAAAAGAACAATTTTTTAACTCTTTTTTTCAACATCAGTCATAAAATATTCCTTCTATTCATTGATCAAGACATTGAATAACAAATTCGTACAATTTATTTTAAATATTATTCAACAAGAATAAAATGATTCCTTTCAATAAAAATAAAATAAAATTAAACTCGAAACCATCCAAATTTACAACTTTACTTCCATTCGAAATCATAAAATATTCTTCCAATTCTTACATTCATTAATCACGATTGCATTCCTAACCTATAAAAACAATCTTAAAAATAATCCAATGCATTAGTGGTAACTCACCAAACCATATCACGAAATCAACCACAATTCACGAGTTCAATTCCAACCTAATGAAATTTCGAACAATTTTCCAATTTTCCAATGATTACCTGTGATCTCTGAAAGTTATCTCACTATATCACGTATCCAAAACAGGATACTGGAATCCGGCGAGCGGAAATGGTCGGTAAGCGCGGTCTCGTTTGATCGACGATATTCTACATCGAAATCACAGACTCGGTTCACGGAAATGGAAAAAGGACGAAGCATTGCTTTTCGAGGGAGGAGGCTCGCAGCTTTTCGCCCGCTTCTTTTCGTTTCCCCTCTTGCTAACGAACCTATAAATACACGACGCTTTGAAGCGGCTTGTGACTGGCGCGCATGCGATTGAATAACCGGAAAGGCATCACGAAAGGCTTCTGTAGCGATGTTCCGATAATTATAGAGGCACTGAGCGCCGATAATGAGCACCCTTGTTCCGTGAACATTAATTGAACAAGGACCACGCCTTTCAACGTGCCACTTTATACTCGTCGATTATAATCGGATAATCGTTTAAAATGAAATATTGAGATTTGTTTATTCTTTGTCAAAGCAAAATTTTTCTCTTATCGTAGAAAATTTCAAAAGTTGATGATATTGTTAAGAACAGCTACAATGTGGAATATCGTGGCCAAAGAAATGACAACATTCGATTTAACGAAGTCGCTTTCTGGATACGGAGCGGAATGATCGTGTTTTCTCTTTCGAACGAATATCACATAATATCGTATTAGTAAATAAATTGGTATCGTGTAAATAATTACAAGTAAATTGAATTATTATTGTAAAAAAGAATTTGTAAATAAAAAAAACATAATAAGTATTTTGAGTATTATTAATATGAGTACTCTGGCATTGTTTAAAATAAAATATAAAATGTAAAATATGTGTATTCTTTAAAAAGATTGAGCTGGAATATTTAATATTTTGAATTGACACTGACATAAAAATAGTAGATATCTCTTCACTAGGATAAAATTGATATAAATTAGTGTTATTTTTCTGTCGAAAGATCATTAATATTTAGAATATTTGGAATTTTTTTACTAGAAATTTATTTTTTGAAAATTTTAATTAGAAAAAAATTTTTAATTCAATATAAAATATTTATAAGATTGAACTTAAAATTTTTCACAACTTCTCACCAAAAGAATTTCAAACCCAATTGATCTGCTAATTAATTTGTATTAAAAAACTTGCAATTTTATTGTTAAAAAATTATTAGGCTCAAAATTAATACTAAAATTGGAAATTGAAAAGTTCTTGAAAGTTTCAAAAAAATGAATTGTTCATATTATATCACGACAAAAGTAAATTTGGTTAAATCATGGAAATATTTCTTGTGCCTGTAAAAGATACCGATCAACGTCAGTTTCGTCTCGATACTCACGAATTCCAAACTGTTTCATACATGATGTTTACACGAATTCTACTTGACAGGGAACAACAGCAATTGCAATTTGAAGATAACGGCCTCGTTAGTGAGACCATTCTCCCGTAAAATAGCGATCTCCATTCTTTTCGCATTCTATCCCCCCCTTCTTTTTTTAAATTTATCTATCAGTTGAATCAAATTAGTCTTTCCTGTTAAAAAGAAGACTGGTCTTAAAACCAGTCAAGAATTAAGTATAACATTTCGCAAACTTTGCACAAGTTTAAGTTTATCTCGTATTAAACGAGCCTTGACCAACCTTGTTGAGCTAATGCATTCTCGTAGTAACTTTTTTTTTAAGTTTTATTCTATACATATATATATATATATATATATATATTATTTTGCTTTTTTTATCGATTAATATTTGTGATAAGATTAAAATTTACGAATAAAATTAAATCTTAAATGTACATTAATGACAAATTATGTGCCAACATAACCTATATTAAGAAACGGGGGACAATTGTTCAAGACATTTATCGTTTTTTACATTCGATGCTTATAACTCAATCGTTGACAAGAAATATATAAAGTTACATATTGGAAGTACAAACACAATCATTTTTGGATAATAATTTTAATTTATCTTACCTTTTTCCTTTATTTCTTATAAAAATAATAATAGAAGTACGATATTTCTTCGAGATACTTTCGTTTAAAATTCGTAAAAAGTCAACCATCTCAAGAAATATATCGTCATCAAAATATTTATCGAAACGATATCCTGTTTCCGGATCGAATTCGTCAAAGCTTCGACACATCGTTTGCGATCCTCGTCACCTTCGGCCCCCACGGTCAAGCTTAAGTTTGTTTGCCCCGTGGATCTGAGGTGACTGATCACCTCCGAAACCGAGAAGGGTTTTCGCGGCAAATCCTCGAGGACAGGGGTCGCGGTCGTGGCTTACGTGGCATCGTGGTCAAATACCGTCCTTATAGATCGACGACAGGCCCTCTTAGGCGTGAAGCCTTTGCTGCGAAGAAGCAAATATAAATCTCCTTGACTCCATTACGAGTATATATATATATAGGATATTAATATATTACAGTAGGCATCCTTTGAAGCATCGATTTTAGAGATCAAAAGTTGAGTATGAGGACAAAAGTTGGTATGTAAGAAATTCGATTGCTTTAAATTCCGTTCCGTAAATAATATCGTTTAAAATACTTGTAACATTATAACATAGTAAAAAATTAAATACAATATGATAATTACACACAAAAATAATAATTAATATCATTATATTAAAATTCAGTTTATTAAAAGAATTATTAAAATCTTTGAGAATGCAAACAATTTAGAAAAAAAAAAGTTAGGTTATATTGACACGATCTATCGAAATTATATTATGTATTCGTTATGTATATTATATATACATATATATGTTATACGTTATATATATGTTATAAAATTCTTCTTGTTGATATTCGACCAATCGAATGTATCACTAATAAATAAAACGTATGAATCGAAGCTGCACCAAATTAATTCGAACATCTAATATTCACCATCTTCTGTCGCGCAGCACACGAATACGAACGCGACTAGAGGGCGCTCGACACGTCTCTCCAAATCTTCAGATCCGAACGTTCCTCCTATTTATAGATCTTACGTATTCCACTATGTGCAGATATCGTTTCACCGACTGTGACATACGATCCGAGTTTATCAAAGTCCGTGAACGGGCTAATTTTTAATCGACCAAGACCACGTTCAAGGGAGAGTAACTTGTCTCTTTCTCTCTCTCTCTCTCTCTCTCTCTCTCTCTCTCTCTCTCTCTCTCTCTCTCTCTTTCTCTCTCTCTTTCCAGAAGAGGGCGTTCTGGTTTGGGAAGGTGGGAAGAGAGGATCGGCCGATACCGCCACTTAATGCCGCGGCTCGAAATTAATTAAACTTTTGCGTTCGTCGAGAGAGAGAGGGGGAAGGAAGGGGTGGAAATAAAACGTTGATGACACGGCAAGCCCGGTTCCGCAAAGCTCGACCCTGCCTCCGACACCTCCTTAATGGGAAAAAGGTAAACGAATTCTCACGCTGTTTCCCATCGGTCTGATAAAATAAAACGGAGTTTCTCTCTCTCTCTCTCTCTCTCTCTCTCTCTCTCTCTCTCTCTCTCTCTCTCTCTCTCTCTCTCTCTCTCGTTCCGATTCGACGCCAACGAGCGAAGAACGAGGCGGTAAATCGGTGGTGCGAAAAGGGGTTGACGCACCCTTATTTTTTTTTATTGGTATTGAACGATGGAAAATTTGGCCGACAGGTGAAGTCGATGCGATTATTTGTATAATACGTGCAAATAGTTGGCCAATAGTCATTTATAGTTATATTGAGGGGTACAAATTTTTGTACGACTAACCTAATCTAATTTAAGACTAATCTTTAAAAATTCTAATTCTTCAAAAGTTTAAAAGTTCTTCTTGTTTCTACATTTTAATTAAAAAATTAAAAAATTCCTTTTTCCAGTGTTTTTCTTTATTTACTTGTAATTAAAAATCTCAAATTAAAAGAGTAAATAATTAATAATACACTATATGTGATATATATTTAATACCTGAATAATCTTGAAATAATTAACTTAACCTAATTTAATTTAATTCAAAAATTTAAAAATTTTTTTTCTAATGTGTTTTCTTCTTACTTCTAACCTCAAATTCAAAAGCGTTTTGAATTGAAATGATAATATATGACAATATATTTTTAGTATCTGAATAATCTTCAAAAACATTTTGTTCCACAATCAAAAAAGAAACAAGTACTCTATATTAAAATTGTCTTTGCACAAATCAATATAATCATGGAATTTGAACCAACAACGAACCAAAACTGTCAATAACACGGTCCAATAGAAAGAATAAAACCTGCATTTTTCTCCATTCTTTTTCCCCAACAGTATATTAAAAAATAAAAATACTTCTTCTGCACGAGAATCCAAGGCACAAAGCAAGCAAGAAAATTCATTTGTATCGAGCTGTTGTACACGCGATCGTGTCGCATTCTCGGCTTTAATGGATCGCGCGGATTGCAACGAAGTTGTCAAAGGTGGAATCGCGGCTTCAAAGCGATCGTGGGACGCTTGTTCTCCTAGGAAAAGGCATCTACGCACCGGCACCGATAACTCATCGGGACCTGTGCCCTTAGTACGAGCCATCACCGTGAGAGGGCCGGAATGATTAATGAACGAGCGCGAAATGTACTCGGATTAGCGTGGTCCGGAGCTTGTTTCTGCGCGCAACTTGTAACAAAGATTCTTTTCATCAGTCATCCGGATATTTCTGGGCCGTTTAATGGACCGGACACGCTGCAGGAAATGTACTGGCCCCCTTATATCGAGGGATCGAACTATGCTCCGCTTCTGGTAAACTAACGATAGAGGGCGCAAGGAAAGTGTATTCACTCTCCGCTTAGCTTACATTTGTTCGGAAAAGACGATTAACCTAAATTATATTCTCAGAAAATGAACAAACGACGAGTTATATATTCATCATCATAATGTAAAAATTGTTCTCCATTTCTTCGTAACGAGTGTATTTATTTGTATTTATTTGAGATTGTCACGTGTAAAAATAATTTTATATATATATTGTATATTCTTTAGAAATATTTTCGAATCCAGAGAAATTAGTTTATTCTTTCAGGACAAGGAATAGGAAAATATATAAATTTGATTTGTATAAAAGTGTTTTGAACTCTGATCTTCAAGTTTTAAAT